ACACTCACGTCAAGCGTAGCCACACCGGGAATGTCAAGCAGCATCAAATGACGTGAAACGATAATGTCAAATAAAATAAATCGAATAAAGCATTTGGATATGTCAACATAACTCTTCGCTAAAGTGGCATATTAACTCAATGTGTTATCAACAACTCTGTGTTAAACTGAAATGTCATAAAAGGAGCAGCACAGGGGGAGAAATTAACGAAGTTAACTATCTTTCAGTTAAGCGGTGTGTGCAAGTAAAACTATTATTCAAGTAGAAATTAGAATGAGGTAACAGTATAAGCGTTAAAACAATACAGCAAACCAGTCACCTGCAATACAGAAGCTCACCACGCAAGCACGCGATTAGTAAATCAAACGAAAGCGTGTATAGCGTCATCATCATCATACACGTTAGCTAGAGGTGGGAAACACCTCAGCTACTGTGCCGCAATACAAAGAAAAAAGGAGAGAAAAAAGACAACTGGTGAAAGCTGGCTGAGCTACCGGTAACGGATGGGCATCGTTCCGGTAAGCTACCAGCCGGCTGCTGTGCACCCAAAAAATTTTTTATGCAAAATTATATAAGGCTAAGTAATGAGATCGTGGTTGGAGGGGGAGGCTAAGAGGGATGGGGTGGGACAAAGAAACTCACAACACGAACGCCACTGAGGTCGGCTCCTAGCCATATCAGCAAGTGTGTCCAACCAAACGTGTTCATCGTCTTTCGGACCCCAACCAGGGAGCCGAGACGCTCCAACTGAGGCCAGCTTCGAAGTGAGGGTCTTCATTCCTCTGGACCAAGTCATCGCTTGGCCACCCCTCCTCTTCTTCCATCCACACCCCCGGCGCGCAAACAACACACGTCGCGGAAGTCGGTGGGCTGGCATGCGTAACACGTGGCCAAGCCATCGGAGCCTGATGCGTGAAATAACGGTGCTGAGCGGTTCATTTCCTTTTCCTGTGCCATAAACAAGGCGTCGAACACGCTCGTTACTCACGCGGTGTTCCCACCAAACGTGAGCTAAATTACGAAGGCACCGGTGGTCGAACGTAACTAGCCTCTTCAGGTCCGCTGCTTTAAGCGGCCAGGTTTCACAACCGTACAATAGGGTCGAACGTACTGCTGCATTGTACACTCTACCCTTCAGGGCAAGCGTGATGTCGCGCCGGTGCCATAAGTGGCGAAGGTTAGCAAAAGCGCCCCTAGCTTTTGCTATACGATTCGTGATTTCATCTTCAATCCCACAGGCGCTGATACAACTTCCCAGGTAGTTGAATTTTTGAACGACTTCTAGCTGATCCCCACCAAGGGTCAGCGCAGGAGGCGGTCCAGACCAATCTTGGAGAAACGCTTTGCACTTCGAGGGTGCGAAGCAAAGCCCGAAGTGACGGACAGCTAGTGCTAATCTGTCCAGTGCCGCTTGGCACGTTTGTGAGCTGTCACAGATGAGGGCAATATCATCAGCATACTCTAAATCAAGAAGTCGTTCTCCTGGGAGTAGCTGCACACCTTCCAAGTCGTGTCCTGTGAACGCGATTTCCATGACTTCGTCAGTAGCGAAGTTGAAGAGGAAAGGTGACAGCGGGCATCCTTGTCTCACACCGCTGGAGATATTAAAGGGCGACGACAACTTGCCGTAAGCCCTCACTCTGCCCGTGCTACGAGCGTATAATGCTCGGATAATATTTACATATTTCTCGGACACACCTTTCCTGAGTAGACAGTCCCAAAGTGCACGTCTATCCACCAAATCGAATGCACTTTTGATATCGAGGAACACGACAACGGTGGGCCGCCAATATATGTGACGGCGCTCCAACAACTGACGCAAGGTGAAGATGTGGTCAATGCAGCTACGACCTCGACGAAATCCAGCTTGCTCTTCACGAATCTGGCTTTCACGAGTGCCAGTCAGTCTGTGAAGGATGACAGAGGCAAGCAATTTGGAGGCGATGGAGAGCAGACTGATTCCCCTATGGCTGCCGCATTCCGATCGTGAGCCTTGAAAATTGGGACTATGGCGGAACGACTCCAAGTTGATCTAACGACCACGTGCAGACCGCAAACGAACTCACATCCACCGTGAATGAGAGAGCAGCCTGTTGACCTACTTATTCTAGAGTGCGAACGTTGAACGCCGCTGGTAAAACGTGACAGCCTGGCCTCATAACGGGGCTGTTGCCGATACGCGTCTAGTAGCTACTGTGGGAAGATTGATGCAGATGGTAGGACTGCAGTAGCATTGCTACTGTTGTCAATTAGGGTGCGAATTATAGGAGATAGGTTAGTAGCGACGATCGGGATGGGAGTAAGAGAATCAGGTGGAAAAACGAAGGGAGGCGCCAATAGTAGCGTATTTTCGCTTATCTGCTTTGGAGTATGCAGCACTTAAGGCGACCTTTGTGAAACTGCGCGACAGCTGGAGTAAATAGCCTTAATTGCACATGGACCGAGATAGTATCGGGGTGCCTAGACTTAGGAGAACGATTGCGGTCCTCAATCAAAACGCCTTTCACGTATGCCTGTCCGCAACGTAGAGGGGAAGTGGTAATGATTTGGTCTAACAGTAATTGACTCCATTCCAGTTCTAACCCCGAACCTGGTGGACCAGGGGAATGCGCTTATAAGTAACTCATAAGAGGCGCACTGGGTCAAAGAGGTACGCAAACCTTCACACTTCGTTAATGTCCAGTCCCGTTGCGACGAGTTTCCTGTTGCTATTTTTTCTTTCCTAACGACTGTGACCTGATCCCTTTCATTATACTGTTATGGTGAAATATTTTGCCTTATAAAGATTTCGTAATTTACGTGGATGGATTGAAGCTGCGGATAGAGCTATCCTCTGGAGAATAGCTACAGATTACGGTCAACATTGAACATGTTACAGAAGTACCCATTAATCGCGACAAATGCTCTGTTTTCCCCGTCGACGTCCAAAATCATTCGGGACGTGTCATATTTCTGATCTATTGCTTCGAACCTTCTTACCTGTGGTCTATACAAGACACATTGCAGAGCGTTCCTGCCGCAAAGAGGTTGCCCCATGCAATACGAACAGTTTTCTCGCGACCAACTCCGGAGATCTCCATACTCTTGTTTACTTTCCACGTGCGAACGATCACCCGCTTCTGTCCTCTTACCAATTTGGAGAACACTCAGCTGCGTAATTCAAATTCAATCTTGGAGTTTCGGAAATTGCCTTATTTCTTTCCACTTCAGTGGACGAACCTGTTCTTCCTGGATTATCGTCGAAGTCGCGGTGATTAGATTTTCAGTAAACCCTTACTGTGTGGAGACATACGGGTGTAGTTGCAAGCATTTTCAAGTCAATGCTTCTAGTGCGACTCAGGTCCACAGATGATAACTGTTTGAACTTAAAAGGCTTCGATTTCTGTCCGTTCTCGCTCACTTAACCCGCGTAGTACATGACTTGTAGCCCAGGGTTTTAGTTGGCAGTCAGAGTATTCCCTGAGCTCGGCAGTTTTGCTGCAAACGTTTCATCGCCACTCGAGGTCTTACCGTCAGTGTGCTAGTATGTGGCGAACCGGCGCGATGTGAAGCGTTAGGGAGTGTGCGCCATCAATCCTCTAGGCAGACGAGCCATCAGTCCGAGTTTGGAATGTTCGACGAGCACATGGTCATCGAAATCCATCTCTCTGAATCGTACTTCGTACCCTTAACACTCGTCACCTCCGCGGTTAACATCGTCGTTTGACTTGTTTATCCGGCGTTCTGTTCCGTCAGATTTAGTCGATTAAATTGATGGTCTTTCATCCCTAGTGCCGCGTATATACTGTCTTACTCAACGCGTCGGTTGATTGAATCAGCTATAGAATAACACTCTTCCAAGAATTCTCTAGCGTTCTTCGACTTCCCACGTGCCAGTATCTTTACGCTTTCTAGGTCGATGTGATGCCTTTCCTGTTCTCCGTGCATGGGATCCAAGGCAGATTAGCTGAGTAGTTTTTCACCCTCGGCTAACGTGTATTGATGATTATGATGAATCCAGGGAATGTGGTACATATCTCCGTATTGCCATTTTATGTCCTTTAATCCGTGTTTTATGTTTCCTTTTAGTTGCTCCAATCTTTTGTATGTCACATACTTTACAGTTTGTCTTGTAGATCACATCGTTCTGAATGCCTTGGTTTTGTCCTTCGGCCTTTAGTGTAATTCTCTTAAAGTACCATTTGCTTTGTATGCTTCCAAGGTTCTCCGTGTCCGTCAAGACCTCGCTGTTATTTCAGCCACGTTTTGTGCTCTTTTTCACCACACCTCTGTTCTGAAGGCACTCTTTTCTTCAGGCTTCTTCTACTGAGGCTTCTTGAATGCCCGTTGTTTTTGCAATTTACTGTATAGATAGTCCTCTTCTTTCTTCCACAATTCCGTCATGCTGCAGTATGTTTCGATCCTTACTTTCTGAAGCCTGTGGTCGCTACCCAGACTGAAGAATGTTTCACCTGCCTGTTGGATTCTCATCTGCTTGAGTAAATTGCGGCCTTTCTCCTTCCTTCCATTGTGGATATTACGGTCCCCTGTAAAATGCCGCTTCGAAACGATTTACGTGTTCTACGCAATAATCGGGAAGTGATGGAGCTGATGAAAGGTTCCCCTTCTGCTCTTCACATTCCACTGATCCATGACATTTCGAGATTGCTGCTTCATCACATGACTCAAGTGTCGTGCACCTCTCTTACATAAATACGATAAAATTTGCTCGCGCCCTTCCCAACTAACTATTCGGTTGCGAGGTATATGTCTTTATTGTCTCGCTTTATTCATTTAGGCAAAAAACCCTGTACGCCTTTACTTTAATCGATCTTGAGTGGAAAACCCCTAATTGTTGACATTGCTACACCAGCAGATATTTGGGCAGCATTTCACTGATTCTTCCCAACAGCTCACAAGCCAGCTAGTCCGGCCATTAAATTCGGAAAAGCACCATATGGCCACTTCACCTTGTTGGGACCAGCTGGTGGTACGCATCCTACGCCTCACGTGACTTCCATCAACGCTGGTGGTCATTCTGTCAGGTGATTGTAGTAGACTTATCGGTTGGTTGAAGTTCAAATGCAGTCGCGTTATTTTCCATATGAGACGGCGTGTCGTACATTTGCAAAAATGGCGCGGTCGCTAAAATGTACCTCGGAATGTAATTTGACTGACAGTCTGGTCGACTTACGAATGCGTGTTATGCTACGCCGAAGCCTTTCCACCGGTTTGACGGTAAGGTCGAGAAATATTTATATGTATTCTTCGTCAGTTTTCGAGCGCATCTGTTATCTCATCCTGGTACTATCAGTTAGATGTTAACTTATAGGATAATATACGTTAAACGTCTGTTCTCGTAGCACTTAGGATTTATCTTGGGTCATTTCGTTTGGAAAACCCCTAGCTCTTGTTGTTAGGGGCTGAAGTATCTGGTAGATCTTAGAGGTGTTATCAATATCGCTCTTCATGCAAGCGTTTTTCACACCCTGATGAGCTTTCATAACAGCGAGGGGGTGACTACTTTAGAAGCAACACATCATTGACTGATCGATATGTAATTGACGTAGTTTGTTCAGTTTGCCTTTTTGAATATAAACCTGATGTCACTCAGACGAAAGGACTTCTGTATTCCATGTCTATTGAAACGGAAAGTTAATTCACTTAGGTGAGATGGACCTCAATTGTTGAAAAGAGCCGAGGATTCAGGACACCAGATCGTGGAATGCTTCAACCTCGGTTGACTTACAGGAGCTTGCACATCGGGAAGCGCCGTGGATACGTTACTGGAAATTCGAGCGCAGTGGAGACTAGTTTAGTTTATGGGTTCTGCCAAAAGCGCTTACATTTGAGCTCTTCTCACTCGTGAATTGAATAATGAAGTTCCCTGAGAAAGCAACTTATAACATTTCGATGACATACTCCGCGATTCTGTATACGAACGTGCCTGAGCTCAGTTTTGATAGATCTGTGCAATGAACTGAATCCAGCGCCAGCTGCGGTTGCGCGACAAGTTTCTATTGTTTGGTGGTGTATCTAATGTAACCGTCGTGACGTAGTGTGATGGTTCGCATACCTCTTCGGCCTCTTGGATTATACTGGATGGTGCCCCCGGGACTCTTTTGAGCTACTCATACCAAGTCAAACAAGTACAGTCCCGTGGTCCACCAGTTTGGGGCATCGTCTGTAGTGACGACGGGCGTAGTAGCCTAATGCCGATGGTGACAAAGTAACTAACCCTAGTTCTCGTTCCTCGCCTCACTGTGGAACGGAAATCCCAGGTTTTTGTATAACAAACCAGGTTTCTGTTCAAGGAGGGTCACGTCAGATGCTGCATTAGCTACACACGTACCGCAGAGCATTAATTGTTCCTGCACTTCATGGATGCGTTCGACTTGGTTAATCTATACATTCTGTTCGAAATACTTGCTCGAAAGGTGTTTCCATGAGATATGTGAACATTTTAAGTATCCTACACTCGAACACCACAGACCACGTCAGGGTCTATGCTGACTTCTCAGATATCTTTCAGATAACAATTGACGTTTAACAGTGTTGCCCATTTTCCTCATTTTTGTTCAACTTAGTCACAGACTCCGTCATCGAGTTTCCCCTCTCGAAATCTCAAGATACGGGCTTTAGAGTGCTACCTTGCTCAATTCTAGTTGATTTTGATTGCGCGGTCACTCGGGAGCAACACCCAATGTTTACCTGTTTTTTCAGTGATCGCTTTTACCAAGGTTCACTTCAATTTGAATCGTGGTCCACTTTATGATTGCGCGTCACAATCTATCCACATAACGTGTGCTTCAAATTGACCCTCCAATCTGTCATCAACCATTGTGCCAAGCGTTGCCCGTCGTGAACCGGTGGCTTAGGGGTAGCGGTCACGACTGTCATCCCAATGATCCCGGGTTCGACGCGTGCTATCTATCTGATGAAATAATATCTAAACGCGTTATGGAGTACAGTGTTTTCTGGCGGTCAACATTCCATTTCCATCTGTTTCGACTGCTGTTCTAGAGATCGAATGACCAGGATTATCTTCAAATTAAATTGCGGTCAACATTGAGATTGCGTGTTACAATCCGTCCACATAGCGTGTACTTCAAACTGACCCTCAATACCAATCATTAACCCTTGTGCGAAGCTTTGCCCGTCCAAACTCGGTTAAGGTTTTGGTTGACATGTCAATGTATTACGAAGAAAAGACGGCATCCGCGTGACACCTTTGTGGCTACACTGCCCCGCGCCACGATCAGCATTTTCTGAAAGAAAACCAGGCCTTATACACACCTTAATTCTAAAATGCGTAGGATACAGGGAAACGTGCCGTATTTTGCACAGACTTTAACCAGGCCTAAGTTGGATCGTGTGAACTCCAGTATGAATGGCGAGACGGACCAACCGCACCCAGTTTAGTTTGTGAAGACTTTATTTCAAGCTACGAAGTCGAATTTTTCTACCAATTTTTGACAACAAGACTCTTCTAGTCACCGCACGAATCAATACATTTCGACCCATCTGAAAGGACTCGCGTCTTTAGTATAACAAAATAAGAAGTGAGAAAAATGAAGGATGTATGGAAAATATAAAGGGAAAAGGGTTAAGAGAGAAGTGAATGGAATTATTCAGAACGGAACATGGACATCTGGGTTCAAGAAACTGAAAGTCGAAGCACTACTGACTGACTGACTGTGCTGTCTTTGATAGGGTCCCCAGCAAATGGGGTGGACAATTCCGAAAACCCCAATCACGAAGGTGGCACGGAACGGCTTAACCAAGGCATTCGATCAATTTCCTCATACGCCTATGTTGTATTATCGACTGGTGACTTAGCGATTTTGATCATATAGATGCGGAGAAAATATATGATACACGCCGAGGGAGACAGTCAACGAATAAAATGGGAGCGTGAATAAGCCAAGGTAAGTGGTTAAACGTTAACATACACTCCAATGAGTTGCCAGTGGGATTTTTCCAAATATCAGTCGGCAGATTCCAGCAATGCTCACATTATGTCTCCAGCGGATCTGAAAAAGTACCAATACTCATGCACGGTCATTCGCCTGAGGTCATTGGCGCGAGCTGGCCGTCACGCTGATACATACAGTTACACCGACTTTGTTTAAACCGTTGACCGGCACGTTGGTATCCCGCGATATCCGCTTCTGAGGAGTCTGGAAGAACTGAGTCAAATATGATTATTTCGATCGCAAAGTTGAAGAGGAAAAGAGACACGAGGCAACCCCGGCGAACTCAGGAGACAGCTTTCTGTGGACCTTTACTCGACCTCGGGAGTCACTTCAGAGTGGAAAGATGCTTACCCAGCGCGCGTTTCACGGATATGCAGTGCCACAAGCTGGTGCGACTCAAAGTCGAAAACAGCCTTAAAGTCAAGGAAAACCGCCACAGTTAGTCGTTTGTATGGGTGCTTTTGATTTAGTACTTTTAATCGTGGTTTACGGAATTACGGACATGCCCAAAGTGCTCATTGGAACTTGTTTCTGTGCCTTGATCATACTGGTCGATGCCTCAGAGACCCTATACAATTCGGACGTCTCAGACTGGGCGCACAGCAGGCACATTTGAGACGATTCCAGTTAGCATTAGGCCCACCATTAATCGACAGCCTTGGAAATATGTGCGTCATCTAAAGCTTACGGTAATGTAGGTCGACTTTTATCCAGCTCATCTAAGAATTCGGTGGGCGCCAGGTAACATGATGTGAACGTTTATGCTAGAAAGCAGTGTTGGTAATTTGAAGATTGTAGTTGGGACATAGTTGCGGGAATCTATCGCCATTATTTGTTTGACGTGCATCAACTCCTAAGCTGCCTCCCAAGCGTTGTCTGAGAGGCGATCCACATAGGCATTCTTGTCGCCATCGAAGAGCTCGTTCTAGTTGATCGATTCACTTACCTTGACTGCTGTATCAACAACGATGGACCCGTAACCACTGATCACATTCTACATATTGCAAAAGCTAGACAGATATCCAATCTGTGACATCAGGAAGAGCCCTCGTTCTGAAAATCCATGGTTATAAGTTCAAAGAGAGGACCGTCCTACTCTATTGGAGAGAGACTTGGCTCTTTCAATCTGAGGCATCTTTAAGTATTTCATTCTTGCTGTATGCGAAACATTACTGGTATCGCATGACGCTAGCGTATCCGCAAGGATGTTGTGCATAGGCAGTGATAGTTATCCCTACGCAACAACCTTTTTGTTGCAAAGCAACGAACACTGCTTCTCATATAATTTGAGCATGTTGCATTCAAATCTGACATTTGCTTTTCTCTGTACTCTACAGATTTTTCGTAATCAACCATAAATATCACTTTTCACACCTTTTAGCCACTTTTCGACGATGTCGACAATGTCGAATTCAAATCTGACATTGCTTTTTTCTATCTAAGCCTCAGATTTTTGGAAAATTAACTAAAGATTTTTTGCAAAAGAACGAAATTGTTCACAATGATGGCCCGATGTATCATACATAAATAAACTGATGCAACCATATATCCTCAACACAACATTTTGATTAGGCATGGCATAAGCACAAAGCTAGATGCATAACAGACATTAATCGGACAAGAATCTGCGTTTACAGCTGTGTTTTCTTAAGTTAGTTACGTTTGATTCTCCAACAATAATCAGCCTTCATGTGTTTGTCCCATCGTCCTCGATAACTTTTTTCCATCATCATCATATCTTGATGAAAGCGTTCCGCCTGTTCGTCACTTACCGCCCAAAGATTAACATGGAATTGACCAAGATGACCGTTCAAGAAATGCGGCCTGGCACTCATGTTGCACCTAAGATCGCGAAATGTCAATAGTATTCAACCTGTTTCCCATACTTCTCTGATTTCTTGTTCCCAAGAAAGCTTTGTATAACCGCCACCAATGACCGCCACATATTTATCTCCTTGGCATTCGTTTTTAAGACAAATTCTTCACTACGCACCAGAGCTCGAATTTGAGGGCCGTTGTTGACTAAATTACTGGGGAGCTGATAAAAATTCAGCATCGGTTGCAGTTGCAGTTGAGGCCTATACGTGTAACTGGGCCTCATTTTCACGCCCAGTGTCTTCATCGTTTAATGAAGCAAAACTTTTAAATTTTGGAACTCGAAGCTCTTCAGAGTGTGGAAAGGGTCGAGTTGCAGAGGAAATACTAGGACAAGAGATCTTTTGCCGATTTTTCCTGTCAATACCTTTTGTATTAACTATGCCA